GATGACAAAATGAAAGGTACAGAATGGCAGAGTGGATCTCCATTCTGTACAATTGAAAAGTTGATGTCCCCAAAATGGTAAAATGTAGAAATATGCATCACCCCACGGTAATACTGTTTTGAACACATTTCCTATGCTCCCAACTTACTCCATTTAATTCCACATTCATCCTTCAATTACAAGTTCAGCAATGATGCACCAAATTCTATTAACTGTTCCCCCACCTTTCCAGTGTTCATCAGGTAGAGCTTTTAATATGAGGATTTGAGGAACTAGTCCAAGAGAAAGGGGCTTGCGTGCTATTCTCAGCATCTGGGTAGGGGTCAAAGCACAGACAGAAGAACCTGAGTCACATTCTTTGTTAGTCACACATCAACAGCGACATCCCCGCTTCTCAGCCTGTGATATAAGAAATCCTTAAAGAATGAAGAAGGAAGCTACAAGTATGAACAAATATGTTTATTAGGACAACTTACATGGGAGTTTTCAGAGCAGGGCAGACAATCTGGCTACAACTGTAACAAAACTTTATCAATACAGAGAAGCAGAAGAATCCAGAATTCAACATTACAAGTAAGAAATTATGGATAAGAACTATGTCACAACATACTTTTACTATCCATTAGGTAATAGCCCCTTGGCATCCTGGTCAACTGTATCAGAAAGACTTATACTAGCATTGAAATTATATGTTAGCTTGTAAGTAGTCAGAATACTTCTGAGAGAGAAAGGTCAAAATGAAAAGGCACGATTTAAGATTGCATTACTATTGTTTTCTGTCATACGTTTCATATTTTAAAAAGCATTCATTTCACATCACTGCTGTTAAGCACTCATTTTTAAAGTGCACACATAATCAGAATGTTAATGTGCACTTCTCCCAGGGTGAATAAAAAGCCACTTCTATTTGATCTCTCACTATCCTTTTAATCCTACTTGGGGGATAGGCACCAGGTAGCTCTCCTCCCAGTTCTGAGTGAAACTTTCAGTGGCATACAGTTCTGACACAGGACTCTGGGAGAAATAAAATCAACCTATTGCTTTAACTCACAAACACACCTCAAGGCCACTATCTAAAAGGTCTAGTCCAGTGTGTCATCAGCTCTTCAACCTTTATTCAGAGGACTCTCAACTTCCTTAGTCCTCCAGCTTGTTAACTGTGGCTCCTGGTCTCTCCAGTGTTAAGCTTATAGGTGCAAGGGAGAAAACAAGGGAATCAAAACTTCTTATTTGATATTAGTCAACATAGGGCTTATTATTGTGTAACTGATAGATTCCTCAGAGATTGTCCTTCCCCAACAGATCCTACTTTTCCAACTGCCCTGTGTGACTTACTTCTTGGTTTTTCAAAAGTCCACTCTTAACTATTTTTTCTGTTTTCAACCTGGAAACCTTCTTACACAGGATTTTGAATTGTTCTAATTTCATCACAACACACCAAGAATAATCATTTAATTTTTTTTCCCCAGTGGAATCTAGGGTGGAGGTCAAGAAGAAGACAGCAGCAACTATCCACACTTCACCTCCAAAGCCACTTGCCAGCCCTCCTTAGAGTCTGCATTTCTTCCAAGTAAGAAACCATCCACTGTGTCTGTGCTAACTGCAAGGAGTCCATCCTGATGGAGCTCACCACAAAATACAGGACAAAATGAATCTCATCAACTTTCTCGGCTTTTAAAAAAAGGGAAGCATTTCCAGTTTGAATTCTTCTAAGAGATTTTCCTGTATAATTCATAACTTTCATCTACTTTTTTCTTTCCCATGACCCTGATCAAACATCTCTTAGTTGACCACACACATAGTCGCTATTTAAACACTTGCTGCCTCACTGGGATCTGACCGCAAATCAGTTCATATACAGTTGTGGGGACAGCATGCCTAACCATCGCAACAGAAACTAAGTCATTGCATAAAGTCTAAACAGGCAAACCTTACCCACCCAGATTTTCTGTTTGTCTTCTTACTATTCACATCCAAAGAAAATGAAGTGTTGATTTGACAAGCAGCTCATTTAATTGCCCTCAAATTCCATTTGTCTAAAAAAACAACTAAGAAAAGGTGTATTTATAATCCAGATAACAGTTATAAGTTCAGACCCAATGTTACCAACACTGAGTAACTATATTAACCCAGATAAAAGAAAGTAAGTTATAAGATTTATTTTTGGCAATTTCTACTAATAAGGCACAGTTTTCCCAGTTTCAAATTACTCTGCTCATCAGGAGACTTTTTCAACAGCAAGGTTATAATTTATAGAAATAGTGTTTTGTTTCAGTGTCCTTAGAAATTCAGACAGCTGGGTGACACAGATTTTCTTCAGGGCAAAGTAATAATAATCACAGTCAACTGAGACAAAGACTGTGAAGAGAAGTATGTGTGTATAAGAGTGCTGGTCGTCCAGGCAAGACAGTGTGCTGAGTCTGTATAATTCAACTTGTGAAGGTGACAAGAGATTGATCTGAAAGTCAGAAAAGCAGCACTTTTCAGAACTATCTGGAGCAACAAGCTTCCCAAGTGAAAACGATGCAAACTTGTTCATACATAAGTGGCTACTCCTTACCCATTTTTTGCTACTTCCTAGTAACAGAATCCTTATTTTATTGACACTTATGTAGCCACAACACTGGCAACTTCTCTCTCAGCTTAGTGTGGCCAGGTAACTAAATTTGGTCAATGAACACAAGTGAGGTGTTTAGACACTACTTCTAAAACCCTCCTAAAGGGAAACTAGAGTTCAGTGTGAACATTTTGCCTTTCCACTCATCACTCCTTAATGCCATGACGAATTTAGATTTCTAACAATGTATCTGTCACAACCACCTTCGAACATGGAGGCAGGAGTTACAGCTAAAGATGACAGAGCAGACAGATGAGAGGAGTCCAGCTTCCCCATGACCAGGGCAGCACCAGCCCAGCCCCAGGCTGCTTCTTATACCTCTCTTGTCTAGGAAGAAAAGCCTTACCCCTTTCATGGCTGCTATTCTACACCATCAAAGCCCAAACAGTGATAATGATATTTGCTTAGTTTTGCCAAATTTCAACAGATGATTTTCATTTTCACATAAATATCGCTACCTCCACAATGCCACCTGATTGTCAGTGATTATGGCATGCCATTTGGAAATGTTAAAATACACGAGGCGGAGGAGTGTTATCTTAGGATTGACAAAACAAGTAGCTGTTGCCTTAGCCTTCCTGAAATTTTATTGGTAAAGTCACTGATTCTGAGACTGTCAAAGATGGGTGGCCTCCAATACAGGAAGCTAAATAACCCTCTGGGAATGGTTCATGCGTATCCAACACAGAAAGGAAGCTAAGGGAAAAATGACCCAACACAGGTATTAAAACCCATATGTGGAAGGAAAATTATCAATGAGAAAGCAGTAATATCAGTGTGAGAGCATTCATTTACCAGAAGGTTCAGAACCTCTTGAGCCATGGTGAACCTTCACTAGATGCACAAGGCATCTAGGAAACACAATAAACTGCTGATGAAAAAGCTAAATGAGACCAACATGGAGAACAGGGTGGGCAAACTGTGGGCACAAGCCATCAGCATCAGCTCAATGGGCATGCCTTTGTAAATCATCTGGTAAACTCAGGATGTTCTTTTTGGGTAGTCCCCATTAATTCACTTAAAAACTTTCATCTCTTAAAGAAATCCCCTTAGATGTGATGATATGTGGTTCAGAAGAGCCTTACTAAACATCATTGTAACAACAGTACCCAGAGACTATCATAACACTGGATTCTCACATCAGCTGCATTAAACAACTCTCAAGAAATTAACCTTGACAGAGATATACAAATTAACAGAATACCTGAACTAAGACTGTGCCAGTAGTACATCTATACACCTACATATAATCACTTGTAATGGCAAAGAAAATCATATATTCTCATAACAGGAATTAGAAAAAAAATGTTAGGGTCAAAACAAGGAGGTATTTCTTAACGCTTCTGACTTAAGTGATACTGGCTGTTTTACACTATGTAAATTGGAACAGGAGTCTGTAGAGACTACTTAGGGTATATTTAACCAGTTTTTACTTCCTCACTCTCTCCCTATATTCAATGTTATGGCCTCTGCCACACAACTTTTTTCAGAACCAACAACTGTAGCGGTGAAGTTGATCCAAACCATGGCCTGAGGCTGAGCTATGTAGCAAGTCCCAGACTAGATCAGCTGCAGCCCTAACCCAGTGAGCATGAGAATGATCCATGTTTGTGAGCCCAAGATTCTTCAAGTGCTATATTAACATACATTGTCACAGTAATAAGTCCCAAAACAATACTAAATTTATGCCAGTTATTATAGACATGTTTAAGTTTAATAATGCAACCCAGTGTATATTGCATTGAAATCATTTTGATTTGTAGCAGCAGCATCTTTAAAGCCTAAAGATAACAGAATGTTCAACCGGTATAATGAATGAATTCCTTATTATAAAATATGTTGACTGACAGTTTCCACGTTTCTTGGAAAAGCTATCTAGGAAAATGTAATCATAGGTTTCCATATCTCTCCTCCTACTTTTTACTTTCAATCATAGCCCCCAATAACTCCCAATTTTATTATGCTTTATTTTATTGCTTCATGTCATATTGCCTCTGTTCTCACACCTGAGGAAAATGTTAAAAAAGTAAAAGCAAGGAGAGGAAGCAAGAAGTGCCCAGACGACACTCACACAATGATCTATAACAAATGAGAGGTCATTAGGTTATCTCATTTTAGCATGTTTTAAGTAGCTTCTTAAATCAGACATACAATCTTTTAAAAAGGAAAATTTCATTTCATATATTGAATGTAAAAAGATAAAAGCCTTTCCTATGTCCATTGATTTTCATAAGCGATTAAGTCTTTTCAGCATTTACTCCCTAAATATTTTTGAAACAAGCACATCATCAATTTCCTACTTATCTCTCTCCTCATAATACCAAGAATATAGTACTCACTTGAAACAGATTCCCATTCAATAAGCAATGAGTGAAACAATACATGGTTTAAAATGTGTTTACTATTTGTCAGTGAATTATGCATTAACATACATGTTAAACATTCATCAAATCTACATCACTATTACGTGAAAACATTTTATGGTCTGTGGGAAAATGGAATTACTGAGATCGCTGCTGGTGACTTTTATTGCTTCATTTTCCTTACTGATGAATTTTCTTTATGTGATTTGGGAGTGTGAACTGGGACTGGGATATACAGTCTTAGACTAGTTTTCTATTACCTGGTAATTGAGGAAATAAGCTCTATCTATATAAAAAGGTAGAAAAATAACCATAGTGTGTTGAGTTTTTTCCTGCAATGATACCATATGAACAAAATAGGGACTGAACACAAAAAAAGTCTTCAAATGATTTTCAATCCCCTGTAAGAAACGTATACCTTCTAGTTAACAGTCCTTGAAATATGGCAGCCCAGCTGTTGCCTTGCATTTATTAAAATATCTTTTGCTAAATAATCATGCTCATCTCTAAAAGTAAATTTGGCAAGATTTCATTAAGTCTCTTTCTCTACGACAACATATTCTCCACCTCCACAACACAACATAGTCGTGGTATACTGAGACATAGCCGTCACCAGCTCTACTTGCTGGCCCACCATTTCTAAGCCATGTGATCATGCCTAAGCCACCAAAAGCAATGCTGGTTTTTCATGGAGTTTGGGAGACACTTGGCCACAAACTCTAGGCCTGAATTTAGTAGGGCTCAAATAACTCAATTAATGTCTTAATTCATAATATGCTAGAATAGCTTTTAAGACAAAACTACAAGTTTCTAAGTAAATAAAGAACAGAACAAAGACTATGAATAATTCATTAACAGCTTGTTAGACACCCTCTCTCACAATTTGAATGACTTGCTCTTAAAAGTACTAGAATAAATCAAATCAAAGAAAACTACTCTGAGACTATTTCAACCTCGAATCCTACAAATGAGTTTTAAAGGCTTATAAAACATAGCTTATATTTTTCTTCTGTCTAGGTTTTCACTTGATTACAGGACAAATGTGTGTTGTTTCATAATCATTATCTAATATGCATGAAACACAGAATATGGGATGTGCTCAAACTCCATAAACCAGGCATTTTATACTGAAATGAAAATCTTTTTGCACTATTTTTAACAACAAATAATAGCCCATTTCGCAGATCTGAAACTAAACAATTAATTTACTTGACCTAAAGTTGAAGAAAAAATTGTTTTTCCACTAAGCAGAATCAGTTTAAAAATTCCTCTGGAGATGTTTTTATTTATTAAATGCCTCTAATGACAACACCATCTTCGACTTCCTGTTACTCTAACTCGATTTCTCCTGCATACAGAGTAATGAGCAGAATGGTTGTGAATCCCGTCAGCATCCCGGCATTCTGAATCATGAAGAAGGTGAAATCAGTTTTTCTTCCAGTCACCTTTTCTCTCAGCATGTCGTTCATCTCTGGGAACTAGAAGAAAGGTATATTGTTAGATAGCTGTTGCCATCTTGTGGTAAAAAATAGAACAATCATTTATAGACTTCTGCAGGGAATACAGTTTATTTCAGATGTACTAATAGCACAAAAGGCATAATAGTAACATCTAAGCACTTGCAGAAGTAAAGCACTGAAATGATGTTCTCTAATAGCATGGGATTTACATCATGGGTAGCTGTGTGTGTGTGTGTGTGTGTGTGTGTGTGTGTGTGTGTCTGTACGCGCGTGCGTATCCTGCTTTTTGTGTTCCATTCACATGATTCTTTACATCCTTAAACATATCCAATCTCCTTCCTCCAAATCTCCACATCTGATTTAATCTCTCCCTTCCAATTTTTCAGTGAGTTAAATCCCTACATCAGACTTTCTGGAAACATTTGTCCCAGCCTCTCCAAACTGCAGGTAGTTTTGTGTCTTATCATGCCTCATTATATATAATCTTTGATTTTTGCTGCATGCTATTTTTAATTATTCCTAATGAACTCCCTCTGTGCTTTTTTCACTTATTTACTTCCTCCTCTCTTTCTAGACAAAAACATCCAAAAATACAAGAACTGTCTGTATTTTGTTCACTTGCGAGTCATTGCCTTACAGATTTCCAGGCCTTAAACAGAAAATATATCTACAGTAGCTAATTAAATAAACGTTTAGAAATAAATATACATTAAGTTCCTGATTCTTTTTGCTTTTTTTTCTTTTATATGTTCCAATTAGTGAAATTACAAGGTTTTAAAAGTAAACTATGTACTATTCTAGGATTGAAGACTACGAACAATCTCAACATAGTAAAAGAAAGCAAAACCCTATTTGTATTTTATAGCCACCTTGCTTCAGGCAGATGAACTTCTATTGAACGATGAGGATGTCTGTAAGTACCAGAATGATTAGCCATCTATGCTATGGTTTCTACCAGCCGTTCCAGTATCCATAATTAATGTTTCTGACCCAAGACAATTGCTACTAAGATAAAATAAGGGAAAGCTGTGAAGCAATTCTGCACACTGCAAAATTACTGTATGTGTAGACAGCACCATGTGTATAATTCTGTTTTAAACTGGACAATTCTAATAGATTCTACTTTTATTTCAGAGAAGCAGCTGCCTAGAACATAAACAACATGGGACACTAGCTCTGTTAAGAAAACTACAAACACAGTGGTGGTTCTAAAATGAAATACTAGTTCTTATAAAGGTTTTCACAGAATAATGAATCAAGCCAGACAGCTGTAATTTGAAACTAACAGCACAGAAGCAGGAAATTAACTTGTCTATGTTCCAAAGGCAAAAGAAATATTCTTTGATTTTCATATACTAACACATTCGCATTTTTTTAAAGATATTTATGCTTCACATGAAAAAACACAGGATATTTTTTCTTATACACAGACACACTCACATAAACACGTACACACACCAAAATATGGAAAAACATTGACTCCATATAAACAAAATATATAAATCTATACTGATCCCAGATGAATACAGCCAAGCTTTATTTGTTTTAATTTGAGAGAAAAATAAACACAGGAACACAGGACCCTTATCCGCTGGTTCATTCCCCAAATGCTCACAAGAGCTGAGACTGAGCCACACCAAACCAAGACTCAGGAAACCAAGCTAAATCTTTCATGTCAGTGCAGGGACTTCACTGTTTGAACTAACCACTGCCTCCTGTTGGCTTCATTAAAAGAAGCAGGAATGGGACAGTAACCAGGACTCCAATTCAGGACTCAAATTCAGGCATCCCCAGCAACATCTTAACTGCTGCACCCAATGCCTCCACTACTGTTAATATCACCACTTGGAGCCAACTTTAGGCTGCCATGTTGAGAACTACAGAAGAACAAAAAAGTATGTTTTATTCTAACAAGCCATTCTCCCTTTCAAAGATCACATCTTCACAAAAGCAGGGAAATACAACACAATAGGAGATAAGATTTTGCCATAAGACAAAATGAGAGATGAGAAGATACCTCTAGTCAGTAAAAGCAAAGCATTTTTCCCTCTGTCAATAACATCATAGAGTAGAAAATCAATGAGAGGCACTTTCAAATCAGTATTAGTTGAAGCTATCCAAGGGTGACATCTGAAACGCTTGCAATTACACCAGAAAGCACTTTCACACTGCTGAAAGCAGAAGGCTGCCCTTGGCCACCCAAATGTCGATTTCTAAATTGAAACAAAATAAAATGCTTACATTACTTACCATATCTGCCAGAGAAATATAGAGGAACATGCCCCCAGCAAGTGCAAATATGATATTTGGAGCAAAATTGTTGCCCACCAAAATGCCAAAAGCTAGCCCAACATAGCAGGAACACGCAGAGAGGAAATTGAATAACAAGGCTTGTCGAGTGCTCATCCCTGCATTGAGTAAGATCACAAAGTCCCCTAAAAGAAAAAGAAAAGATCAAATGAAGAGTTCTTCATTTGGGAATGACGAAAAAAAGATAATTACCAATGTCCCACCAAGGGTCCTTCATTTTGGCACATGAGTAGCATTTGGGAATGTTTCATTCCACTGAAACCAAGTAGATCCACTTTCACTCACCTAACTCATGGGGAAACTCTTCGCACAGGATGGCTATGGAAGTGCTGAGTCCCTGAAGAAGGGACAGAGTGCAGGAAGCCCCAATGGCCAGGCCATCGATGAAATTGTGCAGGGCATCACTGAGTGTGATCATCCAGGCAATTGTTCCTATTTCTGACAGTTTGGGCCCCTTCAAACAAGTGCATGAGCTTGACTCCCTTTTCCCATCCTGTAAAATAGCAGAAAATCAACCAACATGAAAACTCACCTTTCTTAAGAGACCAAAAGTTTCAGAAAAGTCAGATATGGATTTACATCTTGAGAGAGACACTCTGTTCCAACAGAAACAATGAATAGGAAACTAATATTATGTAATAGGGAAAAGAAAACTGATGTTAGGAGAAATGAAACAAATCAACTGACACACCTTGTGTGTCACAGAGCTATCACAGTGGTTTCCCCTTAAAACAATCCTTCTGGCTTGGAGGAACACATTTGTACTACTAAATTCCTCTAATATAGCAGATTGAATTTTATATTTCACAATAGGTGTTGAAAGATTGTGTTTAAAGTTTTTCTGTTATTATTTAAATGCAAAATTCACAATTAAAGCATGATAACATCTAAAGCATTCATCCTAGTTCACTCCATCCCACCGTGTGACCCAGCATGTTGTCATAGTCAATTTCTTCCACTGTGAAATAGAAAATACACTCAACAACTCATTTGCACATCAACTACTTAGCACGCTCCCACTCTGTCCCAGGAACGCTCCCAAATACCAACCAGGTGTTTAGGTTATTAATAAGAGGGTCCCTTCAAACTTTAAATTTCAACTATTCACTTACACTTCATGAGTTGTGACTAACACCTCTTTACAGTTTGAAAAAATAAATACAAATAGAAAAGTCTACATTGTAGCAATTCAGACTTCCCTAAGCCTGGCAAAACTGTATAAACTGGAATGAAAAATGTCAGCTAAAGAATTTTTCAGAAGCTGTAGAAAAAGATGCGAATTAATTTTTGCAGTTTGTAGTTAACTGGAGAACGTTTCCTCTTAATTCTCCTTTCCTCACATCTAAGTGGCTAATCAATATTTATTAAACATCTGCAATTTGTAAAACAGTGTGCTGAATGCTATGGAAGATGCGGAAAACACCTTGTATCTTCAAGAGGCATGCTTGAGTTAAATAAATAAGACAGTATATGTTCACCTTTTTTAAATTTGGCACTGGATACCAAAAAAACAACAAAAATCTAAGAGGCTCTATATTTTTTTCAAATACTGTTTTGTTGCTCAAAACACATAAGGAATCAACACTTATAGAATTGATTTTAGATCTGGCAAGACATTACTGCTTCATTGGTGGTGAATTTTCATCCTTGAGAGATATTTTTGTTTGTAGACACAGCTCAAAGCCATTTGGAACAAATAAATTCTTACATTAATACAGGAGGAGCAAGAGGTTGTTAGCTATAGTAGACATTGTCATTGTCAACAATTTCATCAATATGCTTGTTGAAATAACAGCAAAGGCTTACCCGACTTCACATCTTAGGCATTGTTCTAAGCACTGCTGATATTTAATTCATTTAGAATACTCTATGACATAAGCACTTCTGTTATTTTATACTTTAGGAAGTTGAAGCGCAGAAAGCTTGATGCGGTTATTCAGGACTTCATAGGTGTAAGTGGGTTTTTCTTAGTAGCACTGTTTCACTATTCAAAATTTATAAAAGAAGGAAATCTGAAGGCAATTCATAAAGAGAACTTTCCCATTTCTCAAATAAAAAAGAATACTTCTAAGGGCCTTTCATGTGACTTAGTGGAATAAGCCACCGCTTACAACGTCAGCATCCCACATCAGAGCACAAGTTTGATTCCCAAGTGTTCTGTCTCCAATCCAGCTTTCTTCTAATGTAGCCGGGAAAGCAAAAGAAGATTATCCAATTGCTTGAAACCCTTACATCAACTTGGGATGGATGGATTTCCAGGTTTCTGGCTTCTGGCTCCAGCCACTGCAATCATTTAAGGAGTGAGTCAGGGCATGGGGAATCAATGAATTTCTCTCATTCAAGTAAAGAAATCTTAAAAAAAAGAAAAAATACTCAAAACCTTCTCTAAACATTTGATGTAATGTGCCTTTTTTTTTTTTTTAGGAAATCAATTCAATCTGCAAAAGAAAAAAAGTTCATTTCCCTCTAAGTGTGATCTTATTCTTTACAGATTTATCTTAAATGCACAACCTAATAAACAGTCATGATCCAGTACACATCAAATGGATGCCTTGGATTAAAATTGCTCCAGATCAGAAAGCAGTCCTACTGAAGGTGATCAAAGGGGGCCACGAGAAAGATGACCCAGGCTATGTAAAATTTAGACACACTTAATAAGCTTATTTGAATTAGAATATCAGTCTTCATCTTCCAATTTGCTTTGCCTACTCACATTTGTGTATTTACTTGTGATGATTCAGGGAAAGATAACAAGCCATGCTGTGATGATATGATAGCACACACTCAATCTCTATACAAACACCTGTAGCTCTTTGAGAAATGAAAGGGATCTATCTGGCTGGATTCCTTCACCTCTAAAAACAGACAGTATTGACTCTACCATGTCTCATAATAGCTTTGTGACCTCAGGTTCCAAAAGAGACTACTGGCTAGAATTAGAGTTATACTTTTTAATAATTTTGGGACAGATCAAGTATTACAAGTCACCTGAAATCAAATGACTGTGTACAAACGATGTTACATTCCAGTTCTCCTAGGTAGATTAACAAAACAATCATCTCTCCTTTATTGTTTCACTTATTGCTTGTTGCCACTGTTATTCTAAATAAAAGGTTACTCTAGATAGTGACAACACCAGAAGTCTAAAATCCAGAACCAAGTTGTAGTGTGGCTCTAACCAGCATTACTATGGAATCTTCAGCCAGACTCTGAGCTCTCCTCTCCTTAGTTATTAACACTCTCAAATGGCCAAAAGGAAGCCAAGAGCCAAGAACTCCATCCTGTTCTCCCATATGTGTGGCGGAGGCCCAATGACTTGGTTTATCGTCTGTTTTCCCAGGCAGATCAGCAGAGAGCTCGATCAGAACCCACTGCACCACAACAACGAGTTCTTCACTGCATATACTTCTCTTTATTTGGCTGAGTTACAGAAACGAGTGGCAGAAAAAGAGAAAGGAGAGAGAGAAAAAAAGTAGTCTTTCAAGGGCTGGCTCACTTTCAAAATGACCACAATAGCCAGGGCTGGATTGTGCTAAAAAAAAAAAAAAAAAAAAAAAAAGAACCAGGAACTCCAACCAGGTCTCCCACATGGCAGCAGGGACCAAACAGTTGGGCTATCTTCTAATGCCTTCACAGGTACATTAGCAGGGAGCTGGACAAAAAGTGGGGCAGCAGAGGCCCTAACCAGTGCTTATTTGGATGCCAGCACCACAGGAGTCAGTTTAACTCACTAGGCTACAACACTGTTTCCAGCCCGCACTCCAACATACATCTTAATTCTTAGAAACCTAAATCACAAAGCCATGGGGTTGGCTGGTGGGGTGAGGAGAGGCATGAAATGAGAAGCATCAGGATGGGAAATGCAGTATAGGCAGACTTTGAAGGCATAGGCAGCTGGTGAGGTGAAGAAGGCAAGGCAAGCAGTTTCTGGGTAGGACCTGAACTAGAGAGGGGCTCAGTCCCAGGGATTAATTCCAGGTGACTCGGGCTTCCCTGGGCACTGAGGGAGGCATCAGGAACGACGCGTAACTTTCACACTCATCATCTTCATGTTTTGTTAGTAAGAAGGCAAAAGGAAACACCCATGGCAGGTAAAAGTTACATTGCACATGTTAGAATTTTGTTGAGGGAGAGACTTGTTAGGACAGTAGCAGCCCACGAAAAATCCAGTAATGGCAAAAAGAAGTAGAAATCACAGCCAATAAAAGATGAAAATTACCTGCAAAGAAGCACATAAAGCCCACACACAGGGAAAGCTTTTGGGTGTAGCAGTTAAGACACTGTGTGAGACAGCAGCATTCCCTGTACAACCTCCTATCCTCAAGTTCTGGCTCCACTTCTGACTCCAGCCTCCTGACCATGCACAGCCTGGGACACACTAAGTGAAGACTTGTGTGCTTGGACCCTGCCGCCCCGTGGGAATCCCAGCTATGGTCTGGTCCCGGCATTTGAAAAGTAAACCAGAGGCTGGAAGATCTCTTTGTCTCTCTCTCTTTCCCTCCCTCCTCCTCTGCTTCTCCCCCTCTCTTCCTCCTCCTGTCTTTCCTATAAACAAAGTAAACCAACAAATATTTTTTAAAATCCATTTCCACAAACATATAAATCAATGTAATAAATAAGAGTACTGCAATTTTAAACAGCTTTAAATAAAGGGAGCGGTCAAGATTAAAGAAAAGCAGCATCCGAATGCAAGTTAACTTAATAATTAACTGGCAGAAGCCTCAGCATCAAGTGGACCTGAATTTAAATAATAGCTCTGAGTCCTTAGGAAAATTACTTTGCATGTCTGAGCGTCAGATTTCTTATCTGCAGAAAAATGTCATCAACTTCATAGAACTCCTGTTAAACTGGATGGTGTTTATAAATAAGTACTTCATGATTAACGTAGTTGCATCCCATAAGGTGCATATGACCACAGTGTTATTACAGAAAGTAAACCAAAAACTGCCTAAAAGTATGTAACAAATAATCATCATGTGTGGCCCTTGAATATATTCAAGAGCCTATTGCTTAAGACTACTGAAGAAAAGCAAATCTACAAAGAGCTTTAGAAAGGTGTGGATACAGAAACTTGTTAATAAAGAAGGTGGCATTTGCTCTAGGAGTTTAAACACTCCGTGGGACACTTGCAGCCGTATCAGAGGGATTGGGTTTGAATACCAGCTCTGGCTTCCATCTTCAACTTTTTACTGAAGGGAGGTAGCAGGGATGGCCCAGATAGTCATGCCCTTGTTACTCGAGTGAGAAATGGATTTTTCAGCTCCTGCCTTCAGCCTGGCTCAGCCCTAGATATTGTAAGCATTTTTGAAAATAAACCAGCAGATGGAAGATGGAAAGTTATGTTTTTATATATCTATATTTAAATATTTACATATATGTTTGTTTTATATACATTTATTTGCACATACATAGATTTTATATTACATACACAAATGCACAACTGTGTTATACACATTTATATATTTTATGTAAATGCATATAAGTATATATGTG